TGTGACTCACCAAGATGAAAAACAGAAACTTTCTGTTTAGCACTAGTTAATGTTTGACAATATATTTTGATTCACCTGTGTTTTGCTTTTGTCTCTGGAATCAGAACTCTTAAAAAATGGTTAAACCACAAAACAATGGCTTATTGATGTAATCATGTAACTTTGTAATTTATAATCTGAGCTCTGCAGCTGCAAAATTACACTCAGACTTTCACCAAACTCCTATGTGTTTGTCTGTTTGTCATTAGCCGAATCCTTGTCCACTCTTTCAGGGACCCTGCTCCCATAGGACTGAACTGCTCCGGTCTGGGCTGGTCCGTCGCACCCCTTGCCACACCTCCCAGCACTGGGATTACTGCCTGGCTTTTATATGGATCCTGGGAATCTGAACTCAGGTCCTTATGCTTATATAGTGAGGACTTTACCTACTAAGCAATCCCTCCAGCCTATGACATTTTAATGTAGATTTAAAGTTAATCTAAATCAGTAACCCACTTCACAGATTTCATATTAAAATCCTTGGACTATAGGAAAAACTTGAGGGACTATGAACTGTGTCCAAATTCTTAACTAAACTCATAAATCTTCATAATTTCAGGAGACTTATTTCTGTCTTCAGAGATCTGGTCTATAAACAGCAGCAGGAGGGAGAAGTCAGCTATTTTAAAAAACCCACTTAGCTGGAGAGATGGCTCAGCGGTTAAGAACACTGACTGTTCTTGCAGAAGACCTGGGTTTGAATCCCAGCACCCACATAGCAGCTAACAACTGTGCATAACTCCAGTTCCAGGGGATCTGACAGCCTCTTCTGTGCTCCACAGCATTGCACAACACGGGTGCACTTACCTACATGCAGGGAATACACACATACACATAAAATAAAAAGAATAAATAAAAAAACTCATTTCCTAAAGAATCATAATCACATGTGTTTGTTCTCCAGTGTTGGAGCACAGCAGAATTGTATTAAGGTATGGGTTGCTGGGCTCGGGAGTCTGTAGACTGAGATCTGACTTTAGAATTCACACTTCTACGGTGTTTACGAGGGATGCTTACAAAACAATGCTGTTTGTGTTGGGAGCACTCTTTGAAGAGTTAGCAATTTAAACATGTTTTATTCAGAGACTTGATTTCTCATGGAGATGAAAGGCTTTAGGCTGACTTTGTGGCTCTAATTTGTGGCTTTTTTTTGATTAAAAATATTACATTTGTGTGTGTTGTATGTGTACATGGGTGCATGCATGCCATTGTGTAGATGTGTAGGTCAGAAGACAACTTTCAGGAGCCTGTTCTTTCCTTCCACCATGTGGGTTCTGAGAATCAAACTCAGGTCATCAGGCTGGCAGCAAGCTCCTTTACCCACTGAGCCATCACACTGGTCCCACACTTTGTGGCTTTAAGTATCATCTTCAACCTCATGACTCCTTTATTTTGACCGACTTATGTACTTCTTGACCTGGGCCTGTAAGTATGTTGACTATTCCTGCATCCTGCCTCTCCTTTCTACTCAGCTCTCTTTTCTATCTATGTAAAGGTCCCTGTCACCCAAATAAACCCCTCACCTCTAGTGGAAAACTCAACTACCCAGAGCCCAATGGCATCTCATTTTCCCCTCAATTGTACTTATTTGGGGCACATATTGCTGCCACATGTAATTTCTTACTGCTTTTTTTAAATTTCTTTTCCGCACTCCTGTCTCCCTCTAGATGCTCTATGGCCTGGTTTGGTGCTGATCCATTCAAAACCTCCCTGGTTCTTTCTCTTAGATCTTTCAATTGCATTCTCATGAACAGAAAACCCAATTTCCCCTTTCTTTTGTGACAAATGTTTATAGCTTCTTCTTAGGGATTATAAATTCATGAGCTACCTGGCCTACTACCAAATTATTTACAATTATTATCAGTGTGTATGTGCATGTGGTGGTGGTAGGGGCATGCACATGCCGTAGCATGCATGTGGAGGTCAGAGAGCATCTTTGGGGAATGGTTCTCCTTGTTTTTGAGGCAGGGTCTTTCCTGCTGCCTCGGCCATCATGAGCACTCTAGGCTAGCAACCCCGGAGCTTTGAGACCATTCTTCTGTATCTGCTTCCCATCTCACTGCAGAAATGCTGGGATTACAGATGCACAGCATGGCATCTGGCTTTTAACGTGCACTCTGGGGATCAAATTCAGTTTGTCAGGCTTGCGCATTGAGCGTCTTTAACTCACTGAGATATTTTGCCATCCCTATATTCAATTCCCCAAGATACATTGTACATCACATAGCTCCATAAATGCACCTATACGGCACAAGAAAGAAATGTACCAGATGCTGGGTGGCTTTTCCTGCCATGTCATTTTGCTGCAGATCCCCCAGGCTCACTGCAAAGCTGTCCCCAGGACTGTCCCCTAGAAGCCACTAAAGACTCTATGCAGTGAATGATGGGAATTATTTGTTTGTAGACTTTCCTGGTCCTGTTTGTCTGGGAATACCCATTTGGAGAATGGGGCAGGTGAACTGCTTTACACTTTGCTGCTTTTTGTTCAAATCTTCTCCAAGGGGCTGAGAACTTCACATACACATATGCTGCCGAGTCATCTCTCCAGACCCAGAGCTAAAATATTTTTGATAATGATTTGCAAATCAGTTTTTTCCATATTCTCTTCTACATACATCCTTCCCCCTTAACACATTCACTTAAGTTTTCTATAAAGACTTAAAATCAGGGATAGAGAGATGGCTCAGTGGTTAAGAACACTGATTGCTCTTGCAGAGGACCCGGGTTCAAATCCCAGCACCTACATGATGGCAGAGCTAAAATATTTTTGATAATGATTTGCAAATCAGTTTTTTCCATATTCTCTTCTACATACATCCTTCCCCCTTAACACATTCACTTAAGTTTTCTATAAAGACTTAAAATCAGGGATAGAGAGATGGCTCAGTGGTTAAGAACACTGATTGCTCTTGCAGAGGACCTGGGTTCAAATCCCAGCACCTACATGATGGCTAACAGTGTCTGTAACTCCAGTTTCAGGGGATCCGATGCCCTCTTCTGACCTCTGAGGGCATTGCATAACACGGGTGCACTTATATACCTGCAGGCAATACTCATACACATAAAATCGAAAGAAATAAAATAGTTTTTAAAAGACTTAAAAATTTCCATCTAGTCTATAAATGAAGAGTTTAAATTTTAATTTCTAATAATCTTTTAGGAACGTGATTGTAGGAGCTTGTTACAGGTCGTGACTGAGATTTCAACTACCATCATTAATTTTTATTTCTCAGGTTTCCATATAGCGTCTCATTTGACAATATACCAATTTGATCTTGGATGCTGATTTGAAAAAAAAATCTGATGAGAAATCACACCTTGATTATTAAGTCTCTACAGTTCAAAGCTTTTCAATTTATTGAAGGATTTGTCATTTGCTTTCCAACTCATTCTTCTTGGATTTGTTAGTTTAGGATCAATAAATTAGAAATAAGTGAAAGTTTGTATTCATCGGAACTCCTCCAGTTGCTTGTGATAGAAAACATAACCCCAATTATGTAGCAAAGACAGAGTTTATTGATTCATGCAGTGATCAAGCTTAATGTATGAAGCTTCAGGCATGGTTGGCTCTAGAGAGTCATTCTTCTTTCCAGAGCTCAGCTTCTCAGCACTGCCTTCATTGAGTTCCTGTCTCAGGGAGGCAGACGTGCCTCTCTCGGAGGTGAGATGTCTCAAGAGATGTCAGTGCATTCCAACTCTATTTTTATTCATCTCCACTCAGAAAAGAGGTCCCCACCCTGCTCCTAACACTAATTTTGCAAAGGTACCCTGGTTATATTTCATAGGCTATCATTGGATTCTATCTCACCATGGATCTCTCTGACTATAGAGAAGAAATAAGCTGACTGGTTCAGGCTTGCTCATAGGCAAGTGAACTGAGCCAGCCTTTGCATGAAATGATAGCTAGGCAGAGTGATTCCCCAAGGGTACTCAGGGTGTCCTGCCTGGTTAAGACCAAGGCTTAAAGGGGAGACCAAACAGGACTAGCAAAGGGGAAGCCACATACAGCGTTTATCCTGGCCTTCTTCAGGTTCAGGTTAACCAGCTGCAGGGAAGCAAGGCCTTGGTGAGGTTCCTGCCAGACGAGAGTAAAGAAGACAGTGTTGTAGAACACAAAGATCCTGCGTAGGACAGGAACTTTCAGCCTGTGGTCTGTCTCTGTATGCTGCTTTTTCTCCTGTAAGAGCTCTTTGTACATTAATGCCCTGCTGTGGTTTGAATGTGAAATGTTCCTCATAGGCTCATGGTTTGAGCACTCAGTCCTCTGCTGGTGGTGATATTTTCAAGGTTGTGGAATCTTCAGGAGGTGAAGCCTCGTTGGAGGAAGTGAATCATTGGAGGTAGGCCTTGGGATTTGATGACCTGGCATCACTTCCTGTCCTCACTTTGTTTCCTGACTGCATATGCAATGTGACCAGCTGCCTCATGCTCCTGCCTCCAGCCTTTCTTCGCCATGGATTGTCTTCCCAAACTGTCATCCCGCAGAAACCCTTCCTCTCGCATTGCCTCTTGTCTTGCTTTTTTGTGATGGCAGCAAGTAAGGTAACATACAAAAGCCCTAAGATGGGGATTCAAGGCCATCTCCTGCTTTATTTAGGGCTGACTGAATAAGCTTGTTTCTTTCCACCAGCTTCTGTCGCCCATGTCTTCTGTGGCATGAGGGAAACTTTGAATCTCAGCTTCTGCTGACAAAAAAAGCCAGCAAAAAATTTCAATAGTTTCTTTAAAAAGGAGCCATTGAATTCCATTGCATGTTGTGTTTGGAAGAATAACAACACTGACCAAAATGGACAGGAAAGCTATAAACATGGGAGAAGGGATGCACTTCTTGCTGGAAGCTGTAAAAAATAATAAAAGAGAAATTAGAATGTTCTAGGTAGCAGAGATTTAAAAAATATTTGTATTTTTAATGGGGCTAGAGAGATGGTTTAGCAAATAAGAGCACTGACTGCTCTTGCAGAGGACCTGGGTTGGATTCCCAGCACTCATGTAGCAGCTAACAATCATCCTCACATCTCTTTTTCAGTTACTGCATCTATTCCAGTTTCCTTAAAATTGTATATGACTAAGGGCTGGAGAGATGGCTCAGTGGTTAAAGCACTGGCTGCTCTTAAGGAGGACCTGGGTTCTGTTCCCAGCACCCACATGGTGGCTAACAACTGTCCATAACTCCAGTTTCAGGGGATCTGACACCTTTTTCTGACCTCCCATGACACAGGTACACTTACATACATGCAGGCAATATACTTATGCACATAAAAAATAAACATTTTTTAAAAATTATTTTTAGTTTTAAAATTATATTTGCTTTATTTGTGTGTATGTGCATGAGGGAGAGAAAGAGGTGCACACAGAGAGAGACAGAGAGATGATGTGATGTAGTCAGAGGACAACTGGCAGGAGTTGGTTCTCTCTTTCCACTCTGTGGGTCCCAGAGATTGAACTCAGGTGTCAGGCTTGGCAACAAGTGCCTTTACCTCCCTAAGCCATCTCAACAGCCATATTTTTATCTTTAATTATAGGTACATGTGTGTGTCTCTGTGTATAAGTTCACATGAGTGCAGGTTCTCATGGTGACCAGAAGAGGGTGTTGGAGCTCCTGGAACTGGAGTGTATTAGTACCTTTTTTGTTGCTGTGATAAAACGCTGTGACCAAGGGAACTTAGAAAAGAGTTTGAGTTTATGGTTCCAGAGGAATCAGAGTCCATCGTAGCAGGGAGAGAAGCATTCACATCTTCAAGCAGGGAGGAAGCAGAGAGGACTGGTGTTCCGACAAGGCTTACGAACTTTCTAAATGCCCCCCACCACCTGTGATGCACTTCCTCCAGCAAGGCCATACCTCCTAAAATTTCCCAAAACAGCATCACCAAGTGGGGGCAAAATGTCCAAATAGTTGGAGCCTGTGGGGGACATGCTCATTCAAACCACCACATGGAGCTACAGGTGGTTGTAAGCCTTCTGACATGGGTGCTGGTAACTGAACTGTACTCTGAAAGAACACAGAGCAGTAATCCCTCTTAATCCCTGAGATTAAAAAGCAAACAAACATGGATTATTTCTCCTTTGATATGCTGATTTACCTTAATAGATTCCTAGTGGAAACATTTGAAGTCAGCTACTTGAACCAACAACAACAACAACAACAACTATCTGTTGTGATTTAAATGTGAAATGTCTTCCATAGGCTCAAGTGTTTGAACGCTTGTTCCCCTGCTGGTAGTGCTGTTTTGCAAGGTATGGTGAAGTCTTGCTGGAAGAAGTGTGTCACTGGAGGCCAGCCTTGAAGTTCTATAGCTTGACCTCACTTCCTGTCTGCTCTCTGCATCCTGTGGACACAGTGTGAGAAGTTGCCTTGTGTTCCTACCTCAGCACCTTCCTCACTGTGACAAAATGTACCTCCTCAAACTGTAGGGTATTTTGTCATAGCAACAAGAGAAGTAACTAATACAGCACTCTCTTAGGTTTCTCCAACTCATAGAATTTAGGGTATTTATTTTACAGAGGAGAAAGGTGCAGAGAAAGGCACAGAAAGAGGTTGAGAAGCTTACTGTTACCCTGCCATCATCATCATCATCATCATCATCACTACTCTATCCCCCCCTCTCTCCACTTTAGTTGTCATCATCTTTATCACTATTATGAAAGCTGTGCTGGTTAGTTTTGTCAACTTGACACAAACCTGGGCACACCTGGGAAGAGGGAGCTACAACTGAGGAATTACCTCCATCAGATTGTCCTGTGGACCTGTCTGTGGGGCATTTTCTTTTCTTTTTCTTTATAATTTTGTATTTGTTTTTTATTTTATGCATGAGTGTTTTGTCTGCATGTATGTAAGTGCATACAATATAATATATAATATATAATACCCACAGAGGCCAGAAGAGGGGCAACAGGTACCCGGAACTAGAGTTGTTCCACTAGGTGGTTGTTAGCCACCATGTGCATGCTGGGAACCAAACCTGGGTCCTCAGGAAGACCAGACAGTACTCTTAACTGCTGAGTCATCTCTCAGCCCCTGTGCCGCATTTTCTTGATTGGTAATTGATGTCTGAGGGCCCAGCTCACTGTGGGCAGTGTCATCCCTAGGCAGGTGGGCCTGGGCTGCATCAGAAAGGGAGCTGAGCAAGCCAGGGGAAGCAAGCCAGGGAGCAGTGTTGCGCCATGGTCTCTGCTTCATTTCCTGCCTCCAGGGTCCTGTTTGGCTTCCCTGGATGATGGTTTGTACTGTAAGCCAAATAACCCCTTTCTTCCTCAAGTTGCTTTTGGTCATGGCATTTATCACAGTAACAGGTCAACGAAGTAGAACAAAAGCTAACGTGAAATGCTCATTCTGTGCTAGGACCTGTTTTGAGTCTGGAACATAAATAATCTCTTAAAAGAGTTTATGTGTGTTCATGCTTGTGTTTGTGCATTTGAGTGCACTTGTACATGCGTGCATGTGTGTGGATGCTTAAGGTCGAAGTTGGGTGTCTTTCCTCTACTACTCTATATTTTATTTTTATCTTTTTTCTTTTTGAGACAGGGTTTTACTCTGTAACCCTGACTGGCCTCAATCTCACAAGAGATCTGCCTGCCTCTGCTTCCTGAGTGCTGGGGTTGCAGGCGTGCACCGCCACACTCACTACTCTTATTTTTTGAGATAGTGTCTCTCACTCAACCTGGAGCTCATCAACTAACTAGACTGCCAGGCCATCCAGCTCCGAAGACCCACCTGTCTCTACTCCCTGTCCTCCATTCCCTTCCTCTCTCCCCGCTCCAGCTCTAGGTTTACAAATGTATGCCACCACATTCAATTTTTGTATGTGGGTGCTGGAGATCCAAGTTCAGAGCCATCTCCCCAGCCTCCTCTTGACATATATTAACTTATTCAGTCCTCACAACAAACCTATGAGGTATTGATTTTCATTGTCTTCATTTTTTAGTTGATACAATTGTAGCAGAGAGATGTGAATTAAACTGCCAGACATCACATACCTAATGCAGGCAGCATTCAAATGCAGGCCGTTTCAGTCAGGGGCTTTATTGCTTGCTCTTCAGGTGCAGGTCCTTTCTTCAGCTACTCACAGGACAGACTCTCCCACTCCCTCCCATCCTTGCTCAAGTCTACCTTCTCTATGATGTTGTTACTATCCACCCTATTTAATATTGTGACTCCTTCCCACAGCATGCCTTTGTCCCTGGTTCTGCTCAGTTTTCCCATCGTACCTATCACCCACTAACCTACTTTACCCTTCACTTATTTATTTGGTCATTTGCCTTGTCACACTGGAGTGGAGATTCCCTGAGGGCAGGCATACTTACCTAGCCTATTCCCTAGTACCTAGCACACAGGAAATGCTCAGTGAAGATTTATTGAATACATTATAGTTATTTGTTAGGATGATGCTATATTAGATCCGAAGGTGGACATACTATCCTATAATCATATCCATTCTTCAAAACTCAGTTCCTGGAGCTGGAGAGATGGCCAGTGGTTAAGATCACTGACTGATTTTGCAGAGGACCTGGGTCCAGTCCCCAGCACCCACATAGTGGCTAACCACTGTTCCTAGCTCTAGTTCTAGGAGACCCAACGCCCTCTTCTCACCTCATCTGGCATTGCACCACACAGGTGCATTTATACACTTGCAAGCAAGACACTCAAAAACGTACAAAACAACTTAGCTCTTCAGTCCTCGTCATAATAATTAGGACATTAACATTTCTTTTTTTTTAACTTTTTTTAAATTTAATTTTAAAAATTTTATTTTATGTGTATGCATGTGTTGCCTCCATGTCGGTAAGTGCACCCATGTCGTGCAATGCCTGTGGAGGTCAGAAGAGGCTGTCGGATCCCCTGGGACTGGAGTTACAGACAGTTGTTAGCTGCCATGTGGGTGCTGGGATTCGAACCTGGATCTTCTGCAAGAACAGTCAATGTTCTTAACTGCTGAGCCATCTCTCCAGCCCCGACATTAGCGTTTCTTTTAAAATGATTTTATTTTTATTTATGTGTGCCTGTTTATCTGTAAGTGCACCTGAGTTGTGCACTGCCCATAGAGGCCAGAAGAGGGTGTTGGATCCCCTGGAGCTTGACTTACAGATGGTTGTTAGCCCCCATGTGGGTACTAGGAACTGAACTCGGGTCCTCTGGAAGAGCAGCCATTTCTCTTAGCCACCGAGCCGTCTCTCAAGCCCCACATTAACTGTTTTTATGTCATCCTCTCACGTTAACTTTTCCTTCCTAACTATCTTAATGCTCTTTTCTCTGGCCCTCTAAAGGCCATTATCATTTCTGCCTCACATTATTTTTATTTGTACATGGGTAACATATTTAGTAGAGTGAATGAAAAACATCTGTGAAATTAAATGTAATCTAAAAAGTCTTTCATTTGAGGACATGTCACATTGTTTTTAACCTTCATGTTTTTCTTTAGTTTTTTTTTTTACTCTATTTAAATATTTTGTTTTCTTTATCCTCTTTTTTTCAAATACAGTGTTATATATATTTTTCAAATAAGCAGTTATGAGAGAAGTTGAAAATTTCATAAACATTAATGTTTGATAATGTCAGGGGTTAAAATTCAAAACACTAACAATTACACTGCATGTAAAAAACTTACACCAGGGCTAGAGACATGACTCAGTGGTTAAAAGCACTGACTGCTCTTCCAGAGGACCTGGGTTTGGTTCCCAGCACCCACAGGGCAGCTAACAACTGTCTGTAATGCCAATTCCAGGGGATCTGGTGCCATCTTCTGGCTTCCACAGACATTGTACCCACATGGTGCACTTACATGCAGGCAAAGCACTCATTTAAAAATTTAAAAAGCTACCTCATCATATTGTGCATGAATAC